GACACACACGTGATGACACACGTGATGACACACACGTGACGACACGTGATGACACACGTGATGACACACGTGATGACACACGTGACGACACGTGATGACACACACGTGATGACACACGTGATGACACACACGTGATGACACACACGTGATGACACACACGTGACGACACACGTGACCACACGTGATGACACACGTGATGACACACGTGATGACACACGTGATGACACACACGTGACTACACGTGTAGAGACACACGTGATGACACACACGTGATGACACACACGTGATGACACACACGTGATGACACACACGTGATGACACACGTGACCACACGTGATGACACACGTGATGACACACGTGATGACACACGTGATGACACACGTGATGACACACACGTGATGACACACGTGATGACACACACGTGATGACACACACGTGATGACACACGTGATGACACACGTGATGACACACGTGATGACACACGTGATGACACACACGTGACGACACGTGATGACACACGTGATGACACACACGTGACGACACACACGTGATGACACGTGATGACACACACGTGATGACACGTGATGACACACGTGATGACACACGTGATGACACACACGTGATGACACACACGTGATGACACACACGTGATGACACACGTGATGACACACGTGATGACACACGTGGCTACACGTGATGACACACGTGATGACACACACGTGATGACACACACGTGATGACACACACGTGATGACACACACGTGATGACACACACGTGATGACACACGTGATGACACACGTGATGACACACGTGATGACACACACGTGATGACACACACGTGATGACACACACGTGATGACACACGTGATGACACACGTGATGACACACACGTGATGACACACGTGATGACACACACGTGATGACACACGTGATGACACACACGTGATGACACACAGAGACACACGTGATGACACACACGTGATGACACACACGTGACCACACGTGATGACACACGTGATGACACACGTGATGACACACACGTCATGACACGTGTAGAGAGACACGTGATGACACACGTGATGACACACACGTGTAGAGACACACACGTGATGACACACGTGATGACACACGTGATGACACACGTGATGACACACGTGACCACACGTGATGACACACGTGATGACACACACTTGATGACACACACGTGATGACACACACGTGATGACACACGTGATGACACACGTGACCACACGTGATGACACACGTGATGACACACGTGACCACACGTGATGACACACGTGATGACACACGTGATGACACACACGTGATGACACACACGTGATGACACACGTGACGACACACGTGATGACACACACGTGATGACACACACGTGATGACACACGTGACGACACGTGATGACACACGTGATGACACACGTGATGACACACACGTGATGACACACGTGATGACACACAGAGACACACGTGATGACACACACGTCATGACACACACGTGACCACACGTGTAGAGAGACACGTGATGACACACACGTGATGACACACACGTGATGACACACACGTGATGACACACACGTGACCACACGTGATGACACACTTGATGACGCATACGTGATGACACACGTGATGACACACACGTGATGACACACGTGATGACACACGTGATGACACACACGTGATGACACACGTGATGACACACACGTGATGACACACACGTGATGACACACACGTGATGACACACGTGACTACACGTGATGACACACACGTGATGACACACACGTGATGACACACGTGACGACACGTGATGACACACGTGATGACACACGTGATGACACACACGTGATGACACACGTGATGACACACGTGATGACACGTGATGACACACGTGATGACACACGTGATGACACACACGTGATGACACACGTGATGACACACGTGTAGACACACGTGATGACACACGTGATGACACACACGTGATGACACACGTGATGACACACGTGATGACACACAGAGACACACGTGATGACACACGTGATGACACACGTGATGACACACAGAGACACACAGAGACACACGTATACACACAGAGACACGTAGAGACACAGAGACACGTGTAGACACACAGAGACACACGTATACACACAGAGACACGTAGAGACACAGAGACACGTGTAGACACACAGAGACACACGTAGACACACAGATACACACAGAGACACACGTAGAGACACAGAGACACACTTAGACACACGGAGACACGGTGTAGACACCGAGACACGTGTAGACACAGAGACACGTGGAGACACGTGGAGACACAGAGACACACAGAGACACAGAGAAACGTGGAGACACACGAAGATTCGTGAAGACACACGGAGACACAGAGACACACGTGGAGACACAGAGACACGTGGAGACACGTGGAAACACAGAGACACGTGTAGACACAGAGACACAAGTGTAGACACAGAGACACACGTGTAGACACACGGAGACACGTGGAGACACAGAGACACGTGGAGACACAGAGACACGTGGAGACACGTGTAGACACAGAGACACGTAGAGACACGTGGAAACACAGAGACACGTGTAGACACAGAGACACACGTGTAGACACAGAGACACACAGAGACACGTGTAGACACAGAGACACGTGGAGACACGTGGAAACACAGAGATACGTGTAGACACAGAGACACACGTGTAGACACACGGAGACACACGTGTAGACACAGAGACACACGTGTAGACACAGAGACACACGTGGAGACACACGGAGACACACGTGTAGACACAGAGACACACGTGGAGACACAGAGACACACGTGGAGACACACAGAGACACACGTGGAGACACACGGAGACACACGTGTAGACACAGAGACACACGTGGAGACACAGAGACACACGTGGAGACACACGGAGACACACGTGTAGACACAGAGACACACGTGGAGACACACAAAGACACACGTGGAGACACACGGAGACACACGTGTAGACACAGAGACACACGTGGAGACACACAGAGACACACGTGGAGACACACGGAGACACACGTGTAGACACAGAGACACACGGGGAGACACACAGAGACACACGTGGAGACACACGGAGACACACGTGGAGACACACGTGGAGACACACAGAGACACACGTGGAGACACACAGAGACACGTGTAGACACAGAGACACGTGACTACACGTGTAGACACACAGAGACACACGGAGACACACGTGTATACACAGAGACACGTGAAGACACGCGTGTAGACACAGAGACACACAGAGACACACGTGTAGACACAGATACACGTGTAGACACGTGTAGACACAGAGACACACAGAGACACACGTGTAGACACAGAGACACGTGAAGACACGTGTAGACACAGAGACACACAGAGACACGTGTAGACACAGAGACACGTGTCTACACACGTGTAGACACACACGTGTAGACACACACAGAGACACACACAGAGACACGTGTAGACACAGAGACACACGTGTAGACACACACGTGTAGACACACACAGAGACACACACAGAGACACGTGGAGACACGTGGAGACACACAGAGACACACACAGAGACACATGGAGACACAGAGACACAGAGAGACACACACAGAGACACACACAGAGACACACAGAGACACGTAGAGACACAGAGACACGTGTAGACACACAGAGACACACGTAGAGACACAGAGACACACTTAGACACACGTGAAGACACACGTGTAGACACGGAGACACACGTGTAGACAAACGGAGACACGTGTAGACACGTGAAGACACGTGTCTACACGTGTAGACACACAGAGACACACAGAGACACACGGAGACACGGTGTAGACACAGAGACACGTGTAGACACAGAGACACGTGGAGACACACGAAGATTCGTGAAGACACACGTAGACACAGAGACACACGTGGAGGCACAGAGACACGTAGAGACACGTGGAAACACAGAGACACGTGTAGACACAGAGACACACGTGTAGACACAGAGACACACGTGTAGACACACGGAGACACGTGAAGACACAGAGACACGTGGAGACACGTGTAGACACAGAGACACGTGTAGACACGTGGAAACACAGAGACACGTGTAGACACAGAGACACACGTGTAGACACAGAGACACACGTGTAGACACACGGAGACACACGGAGACACACGTGTATACACAGAGACACGTGAAGACACGTGGAGACACAGAGACACACAGAGACACACGTGTAGACACACAGAGACACACGTGTAGACACAGAGACACGTGTAGACACGTGACTACACGCGTGTAGACACACACGTGTAGACACACACAGAGACACACACAGAGACACGTGTAGACACACACAGAGACACACACAGAGACACACACAGAGACACGTGTAGACACGCACAGAGACACGTGGAGACACGCACAGAGACACGTGGAGACACACAGAGACACGCACAGAGACACACACAGAGACACGTGGAGACACACAGAGACACACAGAGACACACACAGAGACACATAGAGACACATAGAGACACACGTGTAGACACAGAGACACGTAGAGACACACAGAGACACACGTGACTACACGTGTAGAGACACACACAGACACAGAGACACACGTGTAGACACACAGAGACACACACAGACACATGTGTAGACACAGAGACACAGAGACACACACAGAGACACACACAGAGACACAGACACACACAGAGACACACACAGAGACACACACAGAGACACCGTATTAGCGTTGCCTATCGCCTGCGGAGACACACAGAGAGACACGGAGATACACACAGAGACACGGAGACACACACAGAGACACACACAGACACACACACAGAGAGATAGAGACACACACAGAGACACACACAGAGACACACACAGAGACACACACAGAGACACAGAGACACACACAGAGACACAGAGACACACAGAGACACACACAGAGACACCGTCTTAGCGTTGCCTATCGCCTGCGGAGACACACAGAGAGACACGGAGACACACACAGAGACACGGAGACACACACAGAGACACGTGTAGACACACACAGAGACACACACAGAGACACACACAGAGACACACACAGAGACACGTGTAGACACGCACAGAGACACGTGGAGACACGCACAGAGACACGTGGAGACACACAGAGACACACAGAGACACACACAGAGACACATAGAGACACATAGAGACACACGTGTAGACACAGAGACACGTAGAGACACACAGAGACACACGTGACTACACGTGTAGAGACACACACAGACACAGAGACACACGTGTAGACACACAGAGACACACACAGACACATGTGTAGACACAGAGACACATAGAGACACACAGAGACACACGTGTAGACACACACACAGACACAGAGACACACGTGTAGACACATAGAGACACATAGAGACACACGTGTAGACACAGAGACACACGTGATGACACACAGAGACACACGTGACTACACGCGTAGAGACACACAGAGACACACAGAGACACGTAGTCACACGTCTAGACAGAGACACGTAGAGACACACGTGTAGACACAGAGACACGTAGAGACACACAGAGACACACGTGACTACACGTGTAGAGACACACAGAGACACAGAGACACACGTGTAGACACACAGAGACACACACAGACACACGTGTGGACACAGAAACACATAGAGACACACAGAGACACAGAGACACACGTGTAGACACACACACAGACACAGAGACACACGTGTAGACACACAGAGACACACACAGACACACGTGTAGACACAGAGACACATAGAGACACACAGAGACACAGAGACACACGTGTAGACACACACACAGACACAGAGACACACGTGTAGACACATAGAGACACACACAGACACACGTGTGGACACAGAGACACATAGAGACACACAGAGACACACGTGTAGACATAGAGACACATAGAGACACACACACAGACACAGAGACACATAGAGACACACAGAGACACACGTGTGTAGAGACACACGTGTGTCTACACATGTAGACACACGTGTAGACACACGTGATGACACACGTGATGCACACACGTGATGACACACACGTGACGTCACCTCCATCACGGGGTTGGAGGCGAGAACTTTCTCCTCCATGTGGGCGTGGCCACCGCCCACGGAGGCGAAGAATCGCATCACGTGACGAGCTGACACGGTCTTGCCGGCACCACTCTCACCACTCACCACGATCGACTGGCAACGCGCGTCACTGGTGGGGGTCACGTGGTGAGGGTGGGGGTGGGGGTCACGTGACACATCACGTGACGAGCTGACACGGTCTTGCCGGCACCACTCTCTCCACTCACCACGATCGACTGGCAACGCGCGTCACTGGGGGGGGTGGGGGTGGGTGGGGGTCACGTGGTGAGGGTGGGGGTGGGGGTCACGTGACGCATCACGTGACGAGCTGACACGGTCTTGCCGGCACCACTCTCTCCACTCACCACGATCGACTGGCAACGCGCGTCACTGGTGGGGGTCACGTGGTGAGGGTGGGGGGGGGGGGTGGGGGTGGGGGTCACGTGGTGAGGGGGTTGGGGTGGGGGTCACGTGGTGAGGGTGGGGGTGGGAGTCACGTGACGCATCACGTGACGAGCTGACACGGTCTTGCCGGCACCAGACTCGCCACTCACCACGATAGACTGGCAACGCGCGTCACTGGTGGGGGGTCACGTGGTGAGGGTGAGGGGGGTGGGGGAGGGTGGTGAGGGTGGTGGTGTGGGTGGTGAGGGTGGTGGTGTGGGTGGTGAGGATGGTGAGGAGGGTGGTGGTGAGGGTGGTGAGGGTTGTGAGGGTGGTGGTGTGGGTGGTGGTGAGGGTGGTGGTGAGGGTGAGGAGGGTGGTGGTGAGGGTGGTGAGGAGGGGAGAGGCACCGACGCCATTCACAAGGCTTTGTTGTCATTCCCTACACACCTCCTGCTAGCTACTACACTACACTGTACACTACACTGTACACTACACTGTACACTACACTGTACACAACACTGTACACTACACTCTACACTACACTGCACACTACACTGTACACAACACTGTACACTACACTGCACACTACACTGTACACTACACCATACACTACACTGTACACAACACTGCACACCACACTGTACACTGCACACTACACTGTACACTACACTGTACACTACACTGTACACTACACACTACACTATACTATACACTACACCATACACTACACTGTACACTACACTGTACACTGCACTGTACACTATACTATACACTACACTATACACTACACTGTACACTACACTATACATTACACTGTACACTACACTGTACACTACACTATACACTACACTGTACACTACACTATACACTACACTGTACACTACACTGTACACTACACTACACACTACACTATACTATACACTACACTATACACTACACCATACACTACACTATACACTACACTACTATACACTACACTATACACTACACTGTACACTACACTACTATACACTACACTACTATACACTACACTACTATACACTACACTATACACTACACTACACACTACACTATACACTACACTATACACTACACTACACTATACACTACACTATACACTACACTATACACTACACTATACACTACACTATACACTACACTATACTATACACTATACTATATACTACACACTACACTACTACACACTACACTACACTACTACACTATACACTACACTACACTACTACACACTACACTACTATACACTACACTATACACTACTACACACTACACACTACACTACACACTACACTACACCCACCACCACCTCCTCACCGGGCCATCTGCCTGTATGCATCATCTGCCACAGCGAAGACGTGTGGGTCCAGGTGCCCAGCGCCCTGTCCGCTGTAGGCGTCCACCACATCCTGCCCGTACAGGGGCACGTCCATGTATGGGTTGATGGCCACCAGGACAATGCCTTCAAAAAGACAAAGACAAAGATCCCCCGTATAGCCTTAACAGACTGTAGGGGCAAGTGCTGTTAGCGAGCACCTATGGAGGTACACACACGTTCACACACACACGTACACACACACGTACACACACGCACACACAACAACAACCGCCATTCGCTACTAAGTGGCGGTGACGTCACCACGACGCTTGTGCCAGGCTATGTGCACCCTGAGGCCACGTGAAGTGTCGAACGCCCGCTGGCAGGAGGTCACGGGGCAGACCCAGGTGCCACGGGTCGACTGACTGAGATGACTGGCTGATGCACCACCTGTGCCCCCTACTGTGCCAACCTGCTGTGCTTTAGCCACCCGGCGCTCCGCTCGCTGTTGTGAGCGTCGCTCCTCCGCCCTCCGTTGTTGTTGGAGGGCGACTGCCTCCAACTGCCCAGTAGCATCCTTCACGAGCCTCCTCCACAGAGGCCGATCTTGACACCGCTGGTACCAGTCATCGGCAAGTCCACTCAGCTCCACGTCCTCCTGTACCACATCACTCCATCTCTTCTCTAGCCCGTGCCGCGCCCGCTTAGCCCCCTCAATCCGGCCAAACAAAAGCTGTTTCGGCATGCGACGGCTGGGCATGCGGGCTACATGACCCAGCCATCGCAGCCTTGCCTGCCGGAGGAGCTCACCGATGGGACCGTGCCCAGATCTTTCAAGGATTTGTGAGCTCCTCACACAATCCAGTCTGGTTAAACCCAGGATGGATCGTAGGCAGGCCAGCCTAAATGTTTCTAACCGGCGAAGATGTTCCATTAGGGGGGTCCACGTTTCGCAAGCGTAGAGAAGGGAGGGAATGACCGTGGCCGAGAAGACCTGAAGCTTAGTGCGGAGCGACAGACCAGGTAGCTTCCACACAGCGTTACGCAACCGATGAAAAGATATTGCCGCTCGACTGATTCGGAGTGAGACCTCTGCTGTTAAACTGGAGCCAGTCATAAGCACACTGCCCAGGTATGGGAAACTCTCCACTCTCTCCACAACTGCCCCATCACTGATTGGGAGTTGTGGGGGTGGAGTGTCCGATGGTACAAAATACCCAGGCAGGTGCTTAGTTTTGGTGGGGCTGATGGTAAGGCCCCACCTCTTAGTGGCACGCTCCAGTCTCAGCAGCAGCGTCTCCAACTCCTCCTCTGACTGAGCAGCTATTACCAAGTCATCAGCATACATAACGTGGTTGAGCAATAGGGAGCCATCCCTTGACCGCACCCGGGCATCGATTAGCCTCCCATTATATCTGTACCATATGGAGATTCCCCCGGTACAGCTATTGAAGGCTTCACGAACTACGTGGTCAAAATAGATGTTAAATAATGTGGGAGCCAGAGGACATCCCTGTCGCACCCCAAGGTGTACAGGGAATGGCTCTGACTCCCGGCCACGTAGTTTTACCCGGGCCCGCTCACCATCATGAAGGTCCTTAATGATCGTGAGCAGAGGGTCAGGTACTCCAAAAGCACGAAGAACGACCCAGAGCCCAGGCCTACTGATGGTATCATAGGCCTTGACCAGGTCAATAAAGCAGAGATGTAGGTCTTGTTGGAATTCCCTACACCTCTGCTGTAGCAGACGGACAGAAAACATGGCATCTGTGCAGGACCGCCCTTTCCTGAAACCGCATTGGGGCTCCGCAAGCCTCTCCTCAGCGTGCCTGGCAAGGCGATGCTGAATAATCCTTGCCAGGACCTTTCCCGGCACACTGAGGAGTGAGATGCCCCTGTAGTTGTTACAGTCTGTGCGGTCCCCCTTCTTAAAAAGGGGGACCACCTGGGCATCCTTCCAATCCTGCGGAACCCGTCCAGTGGTCCAGACTGTTGTTATGATGTCATATAGGGCAGTCTGTGCACAAACGCCACCCTCCCTCAGCATTTCGCTTGGGAGATCATCTCTGCCCGCTGCCTTTCCTGGTCTCAGACTCCGGATCGCCTTCAATACTTCCTCAGCAGATGGCGCCTCAGCCAGCCACTCACAGGGGGTGACTTCATCCAATATTTGAGGCACCGCAGCCTCAGCAGGGTCATCCTCACTTTGTGCCACGATGTTTTCCTGGCTGAGGGATTTTCCCTCCCCCAGGACCTCACAGAAATGCTCAGCAAATCTGCGAACCTGTTCCTGGGGGTCGGAAATTGGATCACCGTTTTTTCCCCTAATGATGGTAATAGGTGTGGCGCTGCAGGTTACTTTTGCCGGACGGGCAACTCTGTCGTGGACAGCGCTGTGGGGGGAGATCCAATTTTGATTGGCTCCTCCCCTCATGGCATATGCGTCCACCACAGGGGCTAAACGGGGGCTCTGGACGGGTGCGAGGGGCCGGTAACCCCTCCACCTTCAATTAATTACCACGAAACTACGAATTAAACTGAAATAGACACACACACACATAGACACACACACATAGACACACACACATAGACACACACACACAGACACACACACACATAGACACACACACATAGACACACACACAGACACATAGACACAGACACATAGACACACACACACATAGACACACACACACATAGACACAGACACACACACACATAGACACACACACATAGACACACACACAGACACATAGACACAGACACATAGACACACACACACATAGACACACACACACATAGACACAGACACACACACATAGACACACACATAGACACACACACACACATAGACACACACATAGACACATAGACACACACACATAGACACACACACGTAGACACACACAGACATAGACACACACACAGACACACACACAGAGAGACACACATAGACACAGACATAGACACACACAGACACACACACACACATAGACACACAACAACAACAACCGCCATTCGCCACTAAGTGGCGGTGACGTCACCACGACGCTTGTGCCAGGCCATGTGCACCTTGAGGCTACGTGAAGTGTCGTACGCCCGCTGGCAGGAGGTCACGGGCAGACCCAGGTGCCACGGGTTGACTGACTGAGATGACTGGCTGATGCACCACCTGTGCCCCCTACTGTGCCAACCTGCTGTGCTTTAGCCACCCGGCGCTCCGCTCGTTGTTGTGAGCGTCGCTCCTCCGCCCTCCGTTGTTGTTGGAGGGCGACTGCCTCCAACTGCCCAGTAGCGTCCTTCACGAGCCTCCTCCACAGAGGCCGATCTTGACACCGCTGGTACCAGTCATCGGCAAGTCCACTCAGCTCCAAAAAAATACCACGAAACCACGACTTAAACACGTGTACGCACACACACCTACTCGTCCACCCACTGACCCACCCACCAACGCGATCGCCCACCCACCAAACCACCCGCCCACACAACCCGCCCACCCATGCACCTGCTCGCCCAACACCCGTCCACCCGCCCACCGATCGACCGACCCGCCCGCCAACCCACCCACCAAACAACCCACCCATCCACCCACTAACCCACCCACCAAACAACCCACCCATCCGCCCACTAACCCACCCACAAAACAACCCACCCACTAACCCACCCACCAAAAAACCCACCCATCCACCCACTAACCCACCCACCAAACAACCCACCCATCCACCCACTAACCCACCCACCAAACAACCCACCCATCCACCCACTAACCCACCCACAAAACAACCCACCCACTAACCCACCCACCAAACAACCCACCCATCCACCCACTAACCCACCCACCAAACAACCCACCCATCCACCCACTAACCCACCCACCAAACAACCCACCCGTCCACCCACTAACCCACCCACCAAACAACCCACCCATCCACCCACTAACCCACCCACCAAACAACCCACCCGTCCACGCACTAACCCACCCACCAAACAACCCACCCGTCCACCCACTAACCCACCCACCAAACAACCCACCCGTCCACCCACTAACCCACCCACCAAACAACCCACCCGTCCACCCACTAACCCAACCACCAAACAACCCACCCGTCCACCCACTGACCCACCCACCAAACAACCCACCCATCCACCCACTAACCCGCCCACCAAACAACCCACCCATCCACCCACTAACCCACCCACCAAACAACCCACCCACTAACCCACCACCAAACAACCCACCCATCCACCCACTGACCCACCCACCAAACAACCCACCCATCCACCCACTAACCCACCCACCAAACAACCCACCCATCCACCCACTGACCCACCCACCAAACAACCCACCCGTCCACCCACTAACCCACCCACCAAACAACCCACCCATCCACCCACTAACCCACCCAACAAACAACCCACCCATCCACCCACTAACCCACCCACCAAACCACCCACCCATCCACCCACTAACCCACCCACCAAACAACCCACCCGTCCACCCACTGACCCACCCACCAAACAACCCACCCGTCCACCCACTGACCCACCCACCAAACAACCCACCCATACACCCACTAACCCACCCACCAAACAACCCACCCATCCACCCACTAACCCGCCCACCAAACAACCCACCCATCCACCCACTAACCCACCCACCAAACAACCCACCCGTCCACCCACTAACCCACCCACCAAACAACCCACCCGTCCACCCACTGACCCACCCACCAAACAACCCACCCATCCACCCACTAACCCGCCCACCAAACAACCCACCCATCCACCCACTAACCCACCCACCAAACAACCCACCCATCCACCCACTAACCCACCCACCAAACAACCCACCCATCCACCCACTAACCCACCCACCAAACAACCCACCCGTCCACCCACTAACCCACCCACCAAACAACCCACCCATCCACCCACTAACCCACCCACCAAACAACCCACCCATCCACCCACTAAGCCACCCACCAAACAACCCACCCGTCCACCCACTAACCCACCCACCAAACAACCCACCCGTCCACCCACTAACCCACCCCCAAAACAACCCACCCACTAACCCACCCACCAAACAACCCACCCACCCACTAACCCACCCACCAAACAACCCACCCGTCCACCCACTGACC